TATATTATTATTATTATTTTGTATTTTAGGGAAGGGTCTACAGGGTGTTCAGGGTCTCACTACTAGGTTGGACTCATAGTGATCCCCAAGAGCTGGGATTAGAGGAGTGTGCCACCATGCCCAGTCTCAACTGCTGTCTTGGGGTTCCCTGGGGGTGGGGCTGGCACTGCAGGCCCTGAAAGCCATTTTAGATCCAAACCGTAGGAGTCTCTCTGCTCTGTCAATATCTTTCTGACTCTTATTTTCTCCCTCTCCTGCCAATCTTTTTTCTTGTGTGTGTGGTACCGGGGATTGAACTCAGGACGCTGCACTTGCTAGGCAATCGCTTATTCTACTGAGCTATCTCCCCAGGCCCTCTCCTGCCAATCTTAACACAAAATATTGTAAAGCAAAAATGGTTAAGAAAAAGAACTCAATTATTCCTATTTTTGAAATATATTTTAATTTTTAAATTTTTTTTCACCATATTATGTAGGTACTTAAAGTTTAACATATCAATACTTGATGAAAAATACCTGTTCCATGTTATACCTAAGATGTTTGATATTCAGACAGATAGTGAGGTTAAGCTCAACAGCCTAGCTTGTAGGGTAATAACAATAAGCTTCTTTTCTGGAGGGTTAACAACCTAAGTTTGCAGACCAAAATTAGAGAAAAAGAAGGGCCGCAAGGAAAGCCAACATTTTGGCCCTAGCCTTCAAAGGTCAATTAAAACTCAGAACACATGAGAACTTGTACTGTAACGTCATGTAACTCGGTAGTGTCCTACATGTTCTGATCAAGGAGATTATGGGGCCAAAGAGGAAAGTGATCAATGATGTAGAGTGTGCCTAAGGAGAGTCACATGGAAAGAAAACATTTTCTCAGGCTTTCACAGAGAGCACATTGGCCAAGCAATGGCCGTGACTCATCCACATGGCTGACACTGACAAAGGATGTACAAACTGAGGTACAGGGTCTCAGGATAAATCCTGAGGGGATTTGCCTGACCTTATCAGACCCAAAAGCTACAACTCTTGTTGCATAGGTATTGCTTTATCTTGGTCTTAACCATCCAGCAAAAAAGTATAAAAATGAAGTATAAGAAGTAAAGCCATGCTGTTATGTTGAGATGTAGGGGACTCAGGTCAACAATTTCTGACACTGCCAGTCAAGAGGAAGACCCAATACTATTATGGACTACTGGACTCTTTTAGAATATTTTGCTGAGTTAACACACCTATAATATTCAAATG